GAGTGGAGCTCTGCCACCTGTCAGATCAGTAGCATTAGACTCTCACAGGAATGTGAACCCTACTGTGAATTACACGTGCAAGGGATCTAGGATGCATGCTCCTTATGAGAATTAAATGCCTGATGACTCGCACACACACCCTCCCAGTCTATGGAAAAATTGTCTCCCATGAAACCAGTCCTAGGAACGTTGAGTACGACTGGTGTAGACCAAAGCAAAAGCCCATCATCAGTGGTTCTAACTAAGGTGACTTTTGATATATCAAGGAACTAGTTAGCCAAAAGCAATTAAGGTTGAGCAGATATCCTCAGGCAAGGCTGGTCCATTCTGTTTGTGTTGCCAACAGTTTCAATAGCCTCCTATTAACCCCGTGGTGAGGGAGAGATTAGCACCCTAGAGACAAACACATGACACATCCACCACTGGACAGATGATTGATGGTAGTTATTAAACATACTCACAGACAAGAGGCAGGGTACTATAAGTTACGCAGGTCCACACAGGAATTGTACTTCAAAATAGACTGAACAGAGGGTGGTGGGGGAAAGCATTGCAGTGTCAAGAAGGTGATGAGAATATGTGACTGATTTGTTTGAATGAATCTGTGCAACAGTGGGAAACTGACATGTGTTATACTACAAACTAATCAGACAAAAATATTAAGTTATAATACTAATAATATACAATCTACTATAATACTTATGTTTAATTACATATTAGCTAGTTATGCATAATACATACTTGTGTACAAACTATACTATATACTACATACTGTGTATGTGCTTACACACAAAAACACATGTAGACATGTTACATGTACTAGATAATGTCATACTATAGAGTATATTAGAATACATAAATTTCTTTGAAAACAAATGCTAAAAGCACCAACAATATACTGGAAAATTGAATCTACCAATAAAAGTTAAGTATCCCTTATTTAAAATACTTAGGACCAGAAGTTTTTCAGATTTCAGATGTTTTTAGATTTGGAATATTTGTAGAAAACTTAGTGGTTGATCACCCCTAATCCAAAAAATATAAATTAGAAAATGCCCAACGAGCATTTCCTTTTATCATAATGCCAACACTCAAAAAGTTTTGGTCTTTTGGAGCATTTTGAACTAGAAAGTAGAGACGTTTAACCAGTATATAAAAAGATGTACACCTGTGATGAAGAGAAATTTCAACCCCAAACCAATTATATATTTATATCTGAAAGTCAATGAATGTAATATACTGTATTAATAAAATGTCAAAAACTACGGGATTATCCCCCAAAATGCAGGAAAAAAATATTTGAAAAAGCTCAACACCCCTTGACCAACACAATAAATAACAAAATAAAACTTCCTCAATCTGCTTCCAAACATTTATGAGAAACTGGCAACTAACATCATACATGATGAGACTGAATGCTTTTGCCTTCCAATTAGACAAGAGTATACTGTCCTGTATCAGTTTAACTCAAAGTGACCTATGGGTCAAGTGTGGGGGGGGTCACACCTATAATCTCAATGCTTTGGGAGCCTGAGGTGGGAGGACCACTAAAGGCCAGGAATTTTAGATCATACTAGACAACATAATGAGATCCCATCCTTAAAAATAAAATTAGCTAGGCATGGTGGTGTCTACCTGTAGTCCTAGCTACTCAGAAGGCCAGACAAGGAATATGGCTTGAACCTTGAGTTTAAGACTGCAGTGAGCTAGGTTTGCACCACTGCACTCCAACCTAGACCAAGACTCCAAGCTAGACCAAGACCATGTCCTTAAAAGTTAAATAAAGCTGGCATAGTAGCTCATGCCTGTAACCCCAGCACCTTGGAAGGTCAAGGTGAGAAGAGTGCTGGAGCCCAGGAGTTTGAGGCCAGCCTAGGCAACATAGCAAGACCTCACCTCTACAGAAAAAAAAAAAAATCCGGGCAAGGTAGTGCATGCCTGTAGTCCCAGCTACTCAGGAGGCTGAGCAGGAAGATCACCTGAGCCCAGGAGGTCAAGGCTGCAGTGAGCCATATCGTGCCACTGCACTCCAGCTTGGGTGACAGAGAACCCAACTCAAACAAATATGTAAATAAAGAAATATAATAAATAATTAAATTAAAACAAATTTAATGTCAAAAAACAACAGATGCACAGGTATGGAGAAAAGGGTATGCTTCTACATTGTTGGTGGGAATGCAAACTACTTCAACTTCTATGGAAAACAGTGTACAGATTTCTAAAAGAACTAAAAATTGATTTTTCCCATACAAACCAGCAATCCCTCTCCCTGGGAATATACCATAGCTTACAGTTTGGTGACATAAGTCACTCTACAAAAAAGACGCCTGCACGTACATGTTTACTGCCTCACTATTCACAATAGCAAAAACATGGAACCAACCCTGCCATCCACTAAAAGTGGACTGGATAAAGAAAATGTAAATATACATGATGGAGTATTACCCAGTCATAAAGAACAAGAAAATCAAGGACTCTGCAGCAAATTGGATGGAGTTGAAGACCATCACACTAAGAAAACTATCACAGAAACAAATACTGAATACTGAATACTGCATGTTCTCACTCGTGAGTGGGCCCTGCAACCTAGTCACATTAGCATAGGGGAGGGACTGGCAGTTGCTGGGTACTGCTAAGAAAGGAAGGGAGGGAGGAGGATGGGGGGGGCATACGACAACACAAAGGGTACCTGGTCCACTAGCAGAGGGAGTGGAAAAAAAAGAAATCCGGGCAAGGTAGTGTGAGCCTCAAACTTCACTCAAATGCAGTTTACCGATGTAGTTAATCCAAACATGTACCTCACATCTCTATAATAAATAAACAAACAAATGAGTAAATAAAAATGAAATAACAGCCAGGAATAATGAAAAAGAAGAAAAAAATAATAATTCACTGAGACCATATGACAAAATTTACACACTTTCAAATTGATAACTTTTTATTAGCAAAAAAAAAATAAAGATCTTTATACCAAAAAAGAGTCGTTTTTCCCATAAAAAAGTTAGAATATATATATAAAATGGGTGAAGTGTAACCAATACTTGCCATGTGAGGCCAGTTAAAAAAGCCCAACAATTAGTAAAAACTTATTTTTCAGTGGCCCATTGATCACAGAACAATTAGACAACTTAAAAAATTAAAATTACCTACATTCTAGAAACACATTTCAGTCAGTTCATCTAGAGAGTCAACACTTTTTTTTTTTCTTCTCCCTTAAAACATTTTTTTTTTTTTTGAGTCAGAGTCTTACTCTGTCAACCAGGCTGGAGCGCAGTGGCATGCTCATGGACATCCCAGTGTTGATCCGTTGGGCTCAGGCAATCCTTCTGCCTCAGCCTTCCAAGTAGCCAGAACTACAGGCATGTGCTACCATGCCCGGCTAATTTTTTGACATAGTGTAGAGACAAGGTCTCACCAAGTTGCCCAGGCTGGTCTCAAACCCTGGGCTCAGGCAATCCTCTGGCCTTGGCCTCCCAAAGTGCTGGGATTATAGGCTTAAGTCACCGTGGCTGGCCTCCTTTAACACATTCAAGTGAATAGAGAAAAATTTCTATTAAAGTGACTTAAAAAAACAAAACAAAACACTACCTATTAGACTCATATACTATGGCTTAAAGAATGTCTAAGAATTCTTGCCTCAATGATTCCTTGCAAAACAAGTGAAAATCAAAAGTACAGAGACTCTCTTTAATGATGAACCACTGATAAAAATTATATTTGTAATAACATTTCAATTAAGTGCATTTACTGAGAATGCAAGCTCTAATAAATTTTTATCAGGCTTTCCAATTTACCTGTATTTATAGAATTCAATTCCATTGGCAGTTTTCACATGATTTTTGAAGTAGCTATTGAAATAAAAAACTTTCTTGTATTTTCCAAACTACTGAGGTTTTACATCACTGTGCTTTCTTATATAAAGTCCTTCAGTGTGTGTCATATTTCTTTGAAGAAACAGAGAAATGAAGGCATTCCCACACGCATAATACATTCATAGGGTTTTTCTGAGCAATGAAGGGTTGTCTTCAAATGGAACAGAACAACTAAAGGTCTACCAATTGTTTACACTCACATGTCTTTTCTATACTGAATCCTCCCATGATTTTAAAGAAACACACAAACAGAAAGCTTTACTACATTTCTTACAATTACAGAGTTTTTTTCCCCATTGTGAATCCATTCATGTATTTCAAAGCAACTGGAAAATAGAATCCTACATGTTGTTTTTCACATTCATGAGGTTTTTTGGTTTTTTCTTTTTTTTGCCACAATGAGTTCTTCTAAGTGTACAAAGTAAACTGGAAAAATTGCATGTATTCCTATATTTGTTATATTTGTAAGGTTTCTCTCTAAAGGAAGTTTTTTTTTTTTAAGAATTTTTTTTTTTTGAGTTGGAGTCTCACTCTGTCACTCTGTCACCCAGACTGGAGTGCAGTGGCCGCTCCTGGCCACCGCAGCCTCGCCTTGTTGGGCTCCGGCGATCCTTCCGCCTCAGCCTTCCAAGTAGCCGGAATTACAGGCATGCGCTACCACGCCCGGCTGATTTTTTTTTTATTGTAGAGATGAGGTCTCACTGCCCAGGTGGGTCTCGAACCCGCGGGCTCAGGCAATCCACTCATCTCAGCCTCCCAAAGGCGTGGGATTACAGGCTGAGCCACCGAGCCCAGCGGTGAAAGTTTTTTTTTTTTTTAATGTGATCTAATGGAACTAGAACATCTAAGGGTTTTACCACATTTCTTTTTTTTTGAGTCGGAGTCTCACTCTGTTGCCCAGACTGGAGTGCAGTGGCTGCTCCCGGCCACCGCAGCCTCAACCTGCTAGGCTCTGGCGATCCTTTCGCCTCAGCCTCCCAAGTAGCCGGAACTACAGGCGCGCGATACCACGCCCGGCTAATTTTTTGATTTATTGTAGAGATGAGGTCTCGCCAAGTTGCCCAGGCGGGTCTCGAACCCGCGGGCTCAGGCAATTCACTCACCTTGGCCTCCCAAGGTGCGGGATTACAGGCTGAGCCACCAAGCCCAGCCACCACATTTCTTACATTCATGACGTTTTTCACCACATGTAAGATTTCTCATGTTTTCTAAGGGAACTGGAAAAACTGAAGGCTTTACCACATTTCTTACATTCATAGGGTTTCTCTCCAGTATGTGTTCTTTCATGACTTCGAAGAGCACTAGAAGTAGTAAATGATTTATTACATTCCTTACATCCATAGGGTTTCTCTCCAGTATGAGTTCTTTCATGTTCACAAAGGTTACTGGAATATTTGAAGGCTTTCCCACATTGCTTACACTCATAGGGCTTTTCTCCACTGTGAGTCCTTTCATGTACTCGAAGAACTTTGGAATATCTGAAGACTTTGCTACATTTTGTACATTCATAGGGTTTTTCTGCAGTATGAGTTCTTTCGTGGCTTCTAAGGGCACTAGAAGAAGTAAATAATTTCCCACATTCCTTACATTCACAGGGTTTCTCTCCAGTATGAGTTCTTTCATGTTGTCGAAGGGAACTGGGAAAAGTGAATGATTTTCCACATTCCTTACATGCATAGGGTTTCTCTCCAGTATGAGTTCTTTCATGTTCACGAAGGTAACTGGAATAATTGAAGGTTTTCCCACAGTGTTTACATTTATATGGTTTCTCTTCAATGTGAGCGCTCCGAAACATTTGAAATAAATGGGGAAAATTAAAGGCTTTCCCATATACTGCAGATAGATAAGGTTCATTGGCAGTGTGTGTTACCATGTGTCTTTCAACACTTGTGAAAGAGATGAAAGCTTTCCCACATCGCTTACATTCATACAGCTTCTCTGGACATTCTTCACACTCAAATAGTTTATGTTCAGGGTGAGACAGGATGTGTCTATGAAGGGCTGAATGACATATGAAGACTTTTCCACACACATTGCATTCACACGGTTTTACTTGAGTAGAGATATTCTTATCCAGATTAAGATTTGGATTCTGGTTGAAGGTTTCTCCATACTGACTACCTTCTTTACTTTCACACAATCTCTCTACCACATGACTTCTGTAAAAAATGACAAACACATTATGAATGGTTGGTTTGTTAGTAATTTTCAATTTATTAATATATCTTAGACTTAACATTGCTACCAGTAACAGAAAAGAAAAAGTACAAGTCTTCTGCCATATCTAAATTGTTTGAGATAAACAAAATGATTACTCTAAGACACAGGTCCCCCATTGCTATTATCATAACAATGATATTCAAATATGTAGTTCCGGTAGAAGTATTTCCAAGTAAAATATTTTGGCAACACCAAATATCTGTTACATTAAAGTATAGCTTTTTGGTGAAAAATTTCTAAACATAAATTTCCAGTGGTGCTTGCTTTATTTGCTTATTTTCAAAAAGTTATGACATGTTAAGATTACTTCAAGGGACTCTGTTTACTCTTTTTAGTGCAAATTACCTTAGGTTTCTCCCAGCATGTTTGAAATGATCTTCAATAATCTGGTCTTCCTGTTTGTTTCCTAAAATATACACCCATGAAATTATTATGAATTATTGGATATTGTAGAAAAATTACAAGAATCAAGGTTCATTGTATACTACAACCATGCCTGATTTATTCACCAAGGTATTCTTTCTCCACAGCCCAAATCATGGAACAGCATTGTTGACCATGAATCATTTGTTTTCTAATTCACTGAGTGAAAAAAAATGTTATTTTTACCTATAGAAGCCAGGTTTCTGAAAGTCTCCTGCATCACATCTCTGTAGAGATTCTTTTGAAAAGGATCCAGCAAAGTCCACTCCTCCTCAGTGAAGGTCACAGCCACATCCTCAAAAGTCACAGAGTCCTAGAATATCCCACGTATGTGGAGAAGAGGATGGGTGAGACTGACAGTACTGGGAATTTGTACTCAATTCATAAGATTGTAGCATTGCTCTGTGGACTTCAAACATTTCTTTCAGGATTTGGTTGTCAGAACTTTTACTCTTTGCACTTATTTCCTCTCCCACTCACCAATTCTCATGCTAAAACTCAAACAATATGGAAAGTCAACAGCAGAGTAGGAATACCTTTCTCACTGGTGAGTACAGGGAGTAACACATGCTGTAAGAAATTAAGTCACTCCTAATTTCTCTGTGTAGATTATATCTCTAGAGCCTCTTATAACGAAATCCTACTATTTTTTGTACATAAGAGTTAGTATTAACAGATCTAAGACTATTAATCCTTAGAAATGTCTGCTCACAAAGTTTGATCTTTGCTGATATCAGGGAACTTAGATTTTTCAAGGAATTCCATTACCCTAAAGTGATAAAAGCAGCTCACAATACTTAAACAACTTTATGCAAACAATATATTACATGCTAAAATGCCAGTTTTCCTTCCAAAAATCTTATTTCATTCCATTGTTACAGCAGTGGTAGATAATATTCTACACATGTCATCACAATTATCTGAGGAATTGAAGCTATCCATGTGATTACACCAGGAGAGAATATTTGGAAACGCAAAAGTGATTTACTCCAGACAAAATTAAATCAAGTTTTAAATAAGACCAAGAGTTCAATATTGGATGATCCAAACAAAGCAAATTTAAAACTTCTACTGGGTAATATCAAAGTAGAAGGAAAATAATGAAAAGATGACCCATGTTCTTAGAAAAAATGTAATGTCATCAAGATGTCACCTCTTCCAAATAATATCCTTAGATAATTCCATAAATTATTTTAGTACTCAACAAAAAGTACTTTTCTAAACCTAATACAAATAACAATGTCAGCCAGGCTCGGTGGCTCAGCTTGTAATCCCAGCACTTTGGGAGGCTGAGGCGAGTGGATTGCCTGAGCCTGTGGGTTTGAGACCCACCCTGGCAACTTGGTGAGACCTCGTTTCTTCAATAAATCAAAAACTAGCCAGGAGTGGTAGCACGTGCCTATAGTTCCGGCTACTTGGAAGGCTGAGGCACAAGGATTGCCAGAGCCCAGCAGGTTGAGGCTACGGTGGCTGGGAGCGGCCACTGCACTCCAGTCTGGGCAACAGAGTGAGACTCCAACTCAAAAAACAAAACAAAACAAATGTCTAACAACTGTAAAAGTCTACTGAACAACAGAGTGATGGCTTGCTGAAGATATATCCAGAATTTTCAAACTATAATATTCAGGACAGCACAGTATGAATAAAGAGGCAAATATATTAGAGAGAGAATATATTTATATTTTGCGCTGAAATTTATATGTAAAGTTAGTTAATGAAGCAGGCATTCTAAAATACTGGAAAACATTTTTTTTTTAAAGCACTTAAAAATGGGGTGGAGCAAATTGGTACCTAATTTTCAAAAATGTGTTGCATTCCTAGCTATTCCGTAAACAATAATCAATTTATTTACTTTCAAGTGTGAAAGATAAAAGGATACTTTCAGATAAATATATTTTTTGACAGAAAAACACACACATTGTTTGTACAATAAAAAGTTTAGCAATAAAGGAATTGACACATTCAAATATACTAAAATTAAGAATATTAAAAGACAAAAAACAGCAAACAAAAATCTGTAATACATTCAACATAAAAGTATTAGTGTGAAAGGTACACGTGAAATGAACATGATTTAAAAACAGGGAAATAAGCAACACATATTTTTAAAAGATGAAAGACCACATATGAAAAAAAAAGTCCATGTCTGGTTATGAGAAAATAGTCAAATAAAATGTCAGGGAGATGCCATTTGACATTGATTAAAAGAAAAAAAGTTAGTCAATTAGAGAATTCCATGTGCTGATAGCCACAGAAAACAAAGTTATGCATGAATGAAGGAGTTAATTGATACAACCCATTCTACTTCTTGTAATTTGAACTTTACCACAATTTACAGCACAGTAATTTTTCATAAATGTCCAGAAAAATCAGCATATCTGCACTTTGAGGCTTGACAAAAAATAACAGTGTTATTTTTCCAAGAGCAAAAAATAAACTTAAGAAAGCCCAAATGCCATAACCACTAGAATGGATGACTGAATTGGATGCTCCAAGCACTAGTATGTGTGAAATATACTGAGGCAAGGAAATCAACAAACTTTTTCATTTAGTTCCATAAATACTCATTTACAGATTAAAAAGAGGCAAAATTAAAAGAGCATTGGGAACTGAGTAACAGATGGTAAACATACAAAAGATAGCTAAAGAATCAGAACCAAGAGGCAAGACTGAGGAGACCATCAGCAAACTCAATGACTGCCCTAGGTTCAGTTGCAAATCTTGGTAGTTCCAAAGCTGTTTCAACTATTGTTACTAAAACTTACAGTAAATATTTTATTCATTTCATTTTTTTGGTGACTATACTTCATCATTAAAATTCTTTAAAAAGTAATTAAAGTTGAAAATAACATAATTCATAGCTTTCTCTCTCCTGTAATGTGGTGAGTTTTAATTTACATATTTGGCCGAAAGAGAGGAAAGAGAGCAGCATGGCTCAAAGGACTAGCTCCTCAGCAGCAGCAGGTCAAAGTGCATGTCAGATAACAGGAAGCAGAGCATGCTAGCACATCAGAGCAAGGGAAGACAGATCACAGGGTAATGGGAACTGTCCACAACAACTGCTCAAAGGGCTGCTATGGTCACCTTCAGAAATATGTTTTGAAAAGGTTGGAAATTATTCTGTCAATGGCATTTGTAAGTATTGTAGGGAGGCCTCTCTAGGTGGTCTGACATGGCCTGAGTGAGCAAGAAAAGGAGCCTGGTCTGGGTTTTCTACCGAGGGTAGGTAGAAAACTAGGGTGAGAATTCACTTCCATGAGCAAGGGTCTGCTGCCAGTATCAAAAGAGGGAGTACCCAGGTTTTTTCTCACCATACTCATTTGAAGCCACAAATGATAGAAAGGGAATTTATGATGAAAAATGACAGCAATCAACCACCAAAAATGGGGGAGACATACTTCTGATTTCTATTTGGCAATTAAGAACATGGAAGGCACCATTTACATCCACAAAAGTAAAAAGCAAACACACTGAAATCAACATTTCTCAGATACATCTGAGAGTTAAGTTCACAGGACAAACCACCACTCCACATTGAAGAAACAGAAAGGTATATCCAGGGAATCATCACTTAGAAAGTTATAAGAAATTTCTGTGAGAAGCAGTACAGGTATAAGAAAACCTTAACTTCCCACAGGCAAGTTGCTGAAGTGTGAGAGTGTTCAATTATATGGGTCCCCACAAATTTCCAAGTTTTACTTTCAGCATCTCTCAGTGAAGATCACAGAAAAATTGCTTCTGGCTTCCAGTAAGTGGAAGGGAAACATAGCCATTTTCAAGTGTGCCCAAATAATTATGCTCTTACCATTGTTGTCTTCAAAAGAAACAATTTCTCAAAAGCCTAACTGAAATTTTACCAGAGCTAAACCTTCTGTGTTAAGGGAAATACCTAATTCCATTCTCATTTTACCTTCCTCACTCAACTAAAGAGGATTAAGGACTGAGAAGAACTTATGAAAGTCATAGGGAAACACAGGCTTCCTAAAAATGAGGCTAAAGCACAGGTCAAATTGCTTCCACCCACCCCACATCTTACTATCACGTGAATAGCAGAGAACACACAAAATAACAGCAGAACCAATGCAAAAAAGTATATGCTTCTGACCTTATTAAAAGAGTATGATAACAAACTGGATAACATTGATGAGGTGAACATCTCTAGTAGCACACAACAAGCTGGGCATGGTGGCTCATTCCTGTAATCCCAGCATTTTGGGAGGCGAAGGCAAGAGGATTGCCTGAGCTCAGGTGTTCAAGACCAGCCTAAGCAACACATTGAGGCCTCGTGTCCACAATAAATCAAAACATTAGCCAGATGTGGTGGCGTGCACCTGTAGTTCCAGCTACTTGGAAAGCTGAGGCAGGATTGCTGGGGTCCCAGCAGGATGAGGTTGTGGTGCCCATAAGCATGCCACTGCACTCCAGTCTGGACAACAGAGTGAGACTTTGACTCCAAAAAAAAGGAGAAACACACAACACACAGAGAATGACTCATCAAGTAATAGAAAATATAAACAGACCTACAGTTGTAAAAGACTGAGGAAGAAATCACCCTCCCTCCCCCACTAAAGAATAAAAACCCAAGACCAAACAGTTACACTACTGAAACCTACCACACATTTAAATAATTAGTACTACTCCTCAAACTTGTTAAAAATACTGAAAAGAAGCTGGGCTCAGTGGCTCAGCCTGTAATCCCACGTCTTTGGGAGGCTGAGGTGAGTGGATTGCCTGACCCTGCGGGTTCGAGACCTGCCTGGGCAGTGAGGCCTCATCTCTACAATAAATCAAAAAATCAGCTGGGCGTGGTAGCACATGCCTGCAATTCCGGCTACTCGGAAGGCTGAGGCGGAAGGATCACCGGAGCCCAGCAGGCGAGGCTGCGGTGGCTGGGAGTGGCCACTGCACTCCAGTCTGGGCGACTGAATGAGACTCCAACTCAAAAAAAAAAAATACTGAAAAGGAAGGGGCACTTCTAAATTCATCCTATGATGTCAAAATCAACTGATACCTAGAACAAAGACAACCAGAAAAATAAACTGCAGACAAATGTCCTTTATAAATGCTGGAAGAAAAATCCTCAAATAAATATTAGTAAACCATATAAGAAAGACTATGCACCATGACCAAGTGAGATTTACCACCAACATGCAAGGATGGCTCAATACACAAAAATCAATTAATACAATCCCCAACATTAAAAATATGACTAAATACCACAACCACCACAATTTATACCAAAAAAGCATCTGATAAAATACAAGACTCATTCATGACAAGTACACACAACAAACCAGGACTAGACAAAAACTT